TGGGCAGACTAGATGGGCAGAATGGTTCTTATCTGCCATCACATTCTATGTTTCTATGTTTCAGCTAAATGCTGGCCATTTTAATAGGATGTCTTATTCATTTCTCACATGTCTGTAGCAGAAAGATCTCCTGAAATATTTCTTTCATTTGTGCAAATCTTCAGGTTCGACATGGACATCCTGTTTTGTGCGGATTTGTATTCATAGTCTGTTTGTACAGTTTTGTCGTTTTAAATCTTACACAAGGTGTAAAATGTGACTCTCCAAAGAGCAGTATATGAGCAGAGCTTTTATGCTTCAGTGAGACTAATTGAGTTGAGCAGAACTGGCATCATTCGACCTTGAAATATTCTTGCAAGGAAAAGCAAAGCTAACTGTCTTAAAGCATGGCATGAATCTAATTAGTTTTTTTGATTGATTTACCAGCAGTAGTGTGAAACCGTATGAAAGAGAACTCTTTGATATCGACAATATGCCAATGGGTATAGTATAAGGAGAGGAACATACTGCATTAAAATGTAATTTCTTTACACTTCAATGACTTGGACTGAATGATAAAGCGGGAGGTACTTTGATTTTTGTTTCATAGAGAGCCGGAGCGAAGGTGGCGTGTAGCTAAACCAATGCATGGCAAACCTAAAATGCAAAAAGGACCTGTATGTATGATTGACATATTATAAAGGGTTTTGTGGTATGTTTGTGCATTCTGCATTGTTGGTTGTGTGTAATCAATTAAAGGAACACTCTTAGCACTGGTGTAGGGAGGCTGCGCCAACGGCAGAGCCCCTGGTAAGAAAACCAGCGGTTCTAAAACGGTTCGATTACTTACAATAGGGGGTCATAATTATTACAGTGCATTGTAGTGGTTATGGTGCTTAAAGTGTTCTTTTTATTCATTGTGGTTCCTTTGGTAACTCGGCTGTGATATATTTGATAAAAGTGGGTAGGTGAATTCCACGGACCAGGCATGCTACACAAACCATGGTGACCTTAGGGTTATTTGTACACAAAAATAAGCCATGTGCTCAAACTCCCACTACTCCTGGGTGGCAGCAACGGCCATGGTACACATGAGCCCCAATACTTACAATAAAAAAACAAAGCAAAAACAAAAAGTTACTTGCGCACTATTCCAAATCCCTGTGCATATTTATATAAAGGGGGTTTTTAGTTCCACCTGAGAGGTTTGCCTTGACGTGGCAGATGGGCTTGCATCTAATGGCCATTGGAGTTAATAAATAACCTCCATTTATATAAATACGCACAGGGATTTGGGCTAGTGGACAGGTAACTTTTTGTCTTTACTTGTTTTGTATTGGGGCTGATGTGTGCTATGGTCATTGCTGCCGCCCAGGAGTAGGAGCAATGTGGAGCATTGTGCCACACTCGCATGGTGGCCTTCGTGAATATGGAGTATGTCTCCTCCCCCACCCCTGGCTTGTTGGGCAGCCACAGCTGGAGGGAAAATTGATATTATTAAGGGGAACTAATGCATGAAAACAGGTGGGAGGGGGGGAGGGATGGGCTGTGGGTGCCGCATGCTGAGGATTTAGTCAAACCACTGAAAGTGTTGATACAGAACCAGTATTAGTAGCATAAATATTACAACGGGATATAGTGTTTATGGCGCTTAGAGTGCCCGTTTGATATACAAACTCCAAGCATATTCCAAAGTCCTCCGTGATTTGGTTGTGTACACACTAAACTGCTAAAAGTAAACATGAGCTAAAGCTTTACTGGACAAAAATGTCAAATATAAAGACATGCACAAAGAAATTGTATTTAGAATTAAACAATCCACCTGTGACTACATTAAAAAAAAAAATTAAGAATGTAAAGTGTGAAAAATGCATTTAATGTTTTGCAGTATAATAAAAACATATAACAACATTCTAGAGCAGGCATAGGCAACCTTCGGCACTCCAGATGTTTTGGACTACGCCTCCCATGATGCTTTGCGAGGTAGTGTACTAAAGTGATTATTGTTAGCATAGAGGTTAAAAGACAGTGATTTTTATATACAATATTTTTTCCAATTCTATTTTTATTGAAAGCGTTAGAGAAGCATAAAATGGATAAAAACATGGTGGAAAAAACACACATTTTAAGGTCAAATTAGCTGAACTGGAAAAATGTTCAACAATGCTTCTATTTCAACTACTCTGGGGTTAAATTTGAAATTCACATTAAATTCACTTTGAATTCTCACTATTATTAGTATTATTTTATCATTTATAAAGTGCCAGCAAATTCCGTAGGGCTGTACAATAGTGAACGATCCTGTAAATGTTCCAAGTGTAGCAGAAAGGAAAGACGATTCATGTCCCTCCCAGTAGACCTATAGAAGAAAACGGTATTTTCGAAAAACAATGGAAACCAAAGCCTTTAAAGGGAGAGATATCATCTTAAAGAAATAACAACATGGGTGCAAACAGGTATTCAAACAATCATAAGCATTTAGTGCCAAGAGTAAAATAAATGTTATAAATAAATAAAATATAAAATGGAGAAGCTCTCCAGCAAATAGAAAAATGTTTAAAGGACCACTATAGTGCCAGGAAAACAAACTCGTTTTCCTGGCACTATAGTGCCCTGAGGGGCTGGATGGAGAGGAAGGGGTTAAACACTTACCTTTCTCCAGCGCCGGGCTCCCTCTGCGCTGGGGACTCTCCTCCTTCTTCTGCCGTCATCGGCTGAATGCGCATGCGTGGCAAGAGACGTGCGCGCATTCAGCCAGTCTCATAGGAAAGCATTCTCAATGATTTCCTATGGACGCTGGCGACTTCTCACTGTGAAAATCACAGTGAGAAGCGCGGAAGCGCATCTAGCGGCTGTCAATGAGACCGCCACTAGAGGCTGGCTTAACCCTAATGTAAACATAGCAGTTTCTCTGAAACTGTTATGTTTACAGCAGGCAGGGTTAATCCTAGATTGACCTGGCACCCAGACCACTTTATTGAGCTGAAGTGGTCTGGGTCACTATAGTGGTCCTTTAAAGTACAAGTGGCATAAACATGCACAGCTACTAAAGCTAACGTTGAAACCGGTTCGTATATCCAATTCCCTCAGCATCTCCCGACAAAACTCAGTTGGTTTTGTCGGGCAAGCAAAGTGATCCTTAGGTCCGCAAGGTCTTCTTCGAACGTGTCCAGATGTGCCTTTCTTCTCGCATTCTGCTTGAAAAAGCTTATGGATGTCTCACAACTTTGGTATTAACCTTGGTTGAAGGAGTTTAGTCATTATCCATCCTACAGCAGGAACAGGGATGAGATGTTCTAATTCATGTTAAATTTATAGGAGTGCATAGGTTAGTTAACAAGCTTACAATGACATTTTTAGGTGTAAAAATACAGTGAAGTTGAGAGCAAGTTTGTCATAAAATGTCAGCCATACAGCCCTTTTTAAAAGAATAATAACAGGGAAAAACCGTGATGAAAGCTATTCAGTGCGTAGGGGTTATAGTGAGAAAAGTTATGTTATTGTAATTAAACTTCGTAGGCACTGAAATGGATTGCTACCAATAATAACAAGCTTAGTCAAAGTAAATAACTAGATACTGAGAATCAAGCTAAATAAAAAGCATAAGATAAGAAAAGAACAAGTTTGATTACCACCGGGTGTTGGCCGCAGGTTTGTGTGTCACGGCAGGACTGCCCTAAAATAGTGCAGCAGAGAGGCTAAAATAGTACAGCAGGGTGGCTAAACCGAGGCGTAGAAGGTGTTACTGAGTAGCTAGGTGAATTAGCCTATGCCTTACATTGTTATATTAGCTGTACTAGTGCAGTTAGTGCTATATGTTGTTGCATGCTAGTGATATCTTTTCAGTAGTCTCTTATATAGTTGATTGGCTGGTCCAGCAGTATATTGTGGCATAGCTTGCCGGCAGGGTTATGTGAAGAGTGAAACTATTAACTAATTACATGAAGGACTAAACAATGCAATAAGAGTCCAGTTGTTCACATAACAGTAACGGCACCCACTGCGAGGTGTGTATCTGAGCTGTAGGTTATCGCTAGTGGTGACCATGTCCCATGAGGCACTAAGAGTAGCGGCTAGAGTCCGGCACCATATGCTGTTGAGGACACCCTGTTCATCCTATGCCCACCGGGTGTTTGGATTTGTCCAGCAAGGGGGTGTCCTGCCCAAGGACAGGTTGCTCGCTCTGCGAGTTGATGGTGGCTGTGCTCCCGTGGCAGGGCAGTTGCGCCCCCCACCCCCGGTGCTCTCTCCCCGGTTGGCTGCGGATATGTTTTTTGCCGGACAATCGCCGATCCTGCTACAGTGTGATTGTCACATATCCATCTGACACTTTTCCCTCACCTTGTGCTCTTTGTCATCTGTGCTATACAGTTCTACGTGCTGGATCATACAGTAATCCTGACATTACGACATGGCCATAGATCCTGTAGAACTGTGTCAGCACATAGCTGCTTGCGAGAGCAAATTAGAGGAGAATGATCACCGCATGGATCAATTCACTCAGGCTTTAAGTACGCTTCTTGCTAGAACGGAGCATCTGCAGCCTGCAGTGTCTCCTCCTATAGCACCTCAAACCTGTGTACCTCCACCCACTGTTAATAGGACTCCCAGCATCTCCTTATCGCCATCCCTACATTTTGATGGCAATATCCAGGAATGCAGGGGATTTCTTAATCAGGTGGAGTACCATTTTGAGGCCTCACCAGGGTTGTTCCCCATGGACAGAGCAAAAATTGGTTATCTAATGAATCAATTAAAGCGCAAGGCCCTTGCCTGGGCTAATCCGTTATGGGAGAGTAATCAGAGCATTGCTCATAATTACCAGGAATTCCTTGCTGAATTCAAGCTCACGTTTGAGCCATTGGATAGAGAGGATGACTCCTCCACTGCCCTAATGCACATCAGACAAGGTAACCGGTCTATCTCGGATTATGCTATTGAATTCCGTACCTTAGCTTCTGATGTAGACTGGACTAACAATGGGTTAATCTCAGCATTCAAAAAGGGTTTATCTGAGACTATACTAGATGAGATAGCCGCTAAAGAATTACCTAAGAGTCTTAACGAATTTATTAGGTTTGTCATGCATATTGATAATAGGTTAAGACTCAGAGAAGTCACCAGAAGCAAGACCAGACGTACGGCTATGTCCCTAGCACCCCGATTCTCTAAACCTGTTTTGTCTAACCTCCCTGTACAGTCCGAACCCGAACCTACGCAGTTGGGGGTCACTAGACTGTCGGAGGCCGAAAGACAGTATAGGAGAAAGGAGGGGTTATGCCTATATTGTGGTAGAAAGGGACATATGATAATTGATTGCCCAGTGCGTCCGGAAAACTTCCGCACCTAAGAACCTTAAGCGGAAAGGTCTTGGGTGTGATGGAGTTGTCCTCTAACAAAAATAAAAGTAGATTCCTCCTTGAAGTATCTATTTCCCTAGATAACAAGAAGTTTTCTTGCAGTGCCCTAATGGACTCAGGTGCTGCTGGAAATTTTATTGATGTCCAGTTTATTAGGGGTAATGAGATACCAGTCAGGGAGAGACCTACGCCGCTAGCTGTAGAGGCTATTGATGGTAGACCACTCACACAACCGCTTATAACCTACGAAACTCCCTATTATGGTCTCTATTGGGGCCTCCCATAGGGAGGAGATGACGTTTCAGATTATTACTTCTCCATCATGTCCTATCATATTAGGGTTTCCGTGGCTGAGTAAGCACAATCCCTATATTGACTGGGCTGTTGGGGAAATATTGGAATGGAGTAAGAAGTGTATGGGGAGATGTATAAAACTAAAGAGATTGGGTACTATTGACCTTCCCACTACCACTCCCCAAACTCCTGGAGTTCCCATACAATACCGAGAACTTCAGGAGGTGTTTAACAAGGCTCAATCCGATGTATTGCCTCCCCACAGAGCATATGACTGTCACGGTAGTTTACCTCAACTCGCAAGATTTAGTCCAACAATTGACAATATAGAGCAGATACATCTTACCGGACCTTAGAATGGCCGGACTCGCCGAAGAGCAGAGAAAGACAGAGTCAGGAACGAGCTGAGGTCAAGGGTACAAAGAGACAGCGAAAACAAGAACTAGGCAAGGTCTGGTACACAATAATCAGTAAGCCGGCAAACAAGACAAAACCGGGATAAAGAGATAAACGGAGTCAGATACAAAGCCAAGGTCAAGTATGAAAAATCACAACTGAACAAAACAAGCGCTAAAGGGAACTGAAACAGAAACCACGATAGGGCAGGGAGTTAAGGGAGAGGTAAGTATAAATACCCTAGCATTTAATTTGATTGGCCCCTGTCATATCCACGCCCCCAAAATGTGAGTGTATGGGGAATGTGGGATGACAGGGGCCAATGGGAGACCGTTTTACATTTCGGCTCTCACTGTCCCTCTAAGAGCGTGCCCGAGACGCGCGGCGCGCTCTTAGAGCTAGGCGGGACACGTGACCGCATCTGGCGGTCAGTGCCCGCATCTGGCGGTCAGTGCCTGCCTTCATCTGAGCTCTGAGCGAGCCGCGCGCTGCGGGAATAGAGGACCTTGGCCGGCCCCCGGATAAGGTAAGTACCGCTACACTGTGCCATTAACCTGTTTCCAGGCGCTATGCCACCTAAGGGGGCAGTTTATGCCTTATCTCCCCAGGAGAGTAAAATAATGGAGGAATACATCAAAGAATCCTTGAGCAAAGGGCACATAAGAAAGTCATCCTCACCAGCTGGCGCAGGATTCTTTTT